ATGCAAGCAATCCAGCTTGGTTCCAACATCCAACAGCTGCTTTCTCCTGGTATTGACACTTTGCCTGAACTCTTGCATGAGGAACTTCGAGGTCTCCAGCTGCAAGACTCTGTGGTTTCCAAGGTCATCCCTTTCGTCTTCAGTAAGAAACGGCCCACCAGACGAGACCGATATGATGTTTCTTCTAAAGTGTTGTTGCTGATGAAGCAGTGGGACCGCTTAATCCTAAGAGAGGGAGTTCTGTATCGTGTCATTAAGGAGAGTCACAACAAAACCGGAGAAAATTCCAGTATGTCTTACCAGAGGTGTTGCGACTCAAAGCAATGACCGGCATTCACGACCTTGCAGGACATCAAGGCCAGGCTAGAACTCTAGCCCTGGCAAGACAGAGGTTTCTCTGGCCTGCAATGGAGAGAGACATCAAGGAGTATGTACGCTGCTGCCAGAGATGCGTTCTAGCAAAGACTCCAGAGCCAGTGGCTTAGAGCCCCCGTTAGAGAGCATCAAAACCTGCTCTCCCCGTGGAGTTTGTTTGTTTGGATTTTTGAACAGCGGAAGAAAGTAAGAAGAACTCAGTTGGACGTTCTGGTGGTGACTGACCACTTCACTAAACTTGCCCGTGCATGGCCATGCAGAAACCAGACAGCCAAGCAAGTAGCTCGTAAACTGTGGGATCATGTCTTCTGTGTCTATGGATTTGCTGCCAAGGATCCATTCTGATCAGGGCGCGAATTTCGAGAGCGAGTTAATAGCAGAATTGCTTAAGCTCTCTGGTGTCCAAAAGTCAAGAACTACGGCATATCACCCTATGGGGGAATGGAGAGACTGAACGCTTCAACAGGACTTTAGGCAGCATGCTCAGGAGTCTACCCCTGAAAACCAAGGAACATTGGCCTGAACAAATCCAGTCATTGACATTCACCTATAATGCCACTGTTCACGAGACCACGGGCTATGCTCCCATTCTTTCTCATGTTTGGTAGGGTCCCTCGGCTACCAGTGAATGTGATGTTCCACAATGTCTTGGACGACTCCAGTGTTGTGGATTGCAACAAGTATGTCGAGACGCTGATCACTGGGCTGAAGGAAGCTATGAGTGTTGCCCAAAGGCACACTGACAAGCAACAGAGACGACAAGGTTGGGAGTACGACAAGGTCGGGAGTACGACAAGCGGGTTAAAGGCATCAGTTTCCTCTGTAGCTCAGCTGGTAGAGCACGGCGCTTGTAATGCCAAGGTAGTGGGTTCGATCCCCGGGACCACCCATACACAAAAAAAAATTATGCACGCATGACTGTAAGTCACTTTGGATAAAAGCGTCTGCTAAATGGCATAATTATTTGTCCATGGGGGATCGTGTCCTCATCACCAACAAGGATGAAGGGGCCGTCGCAAGTTGGCTGACAAGTGGAATCCCGAGATTTTTCACAGAGACTTCAGTCAATCCACTTACTCACACATACAGAATCCAAGGCCGCGATGGCAGTGAGAAGGTGGTTCACAGAAATCTACTGCTGCAGGTGAACTTCCTGCCATTTGAAATGTATGATTCAGAGTACTTCAATGACAGTGATGCTGCAGGACCTTCGATCAATGTAGATGCAGGAGAGGCCACGCATTCCGGTGATGGACTGGACAGGGAAGACATGGAGGACTCTGTGGAGGAAAGTGCATCTTGGATGGCGGAGGATTCAAGCGATTACTCCGAGCTGAGGACATCGGATGAAAAGACAGAACCAGAAGAACCTCGCCTGCCTGAGGAAAATGACCTGGGAAGCACTTCTGAGATCCTGGAGCTGATTCCTTCAAACCCTCCTCTGATCAATGATCTAAGGCCAGAACCACTGTTAGTCACCAAATGATGATGTCCAAGATGCCTTCCGGTGGGCTTCTTATCCCCAAGAGATAACCTCCTTGACCACTGCTGAAGTGAAAGCTATATGTCAGCTCCATATCGACTGGGAATGTTCAACGGAGATGCAAGCAATCCAGCTTGGTTCCAACATCCAACAGCTGCTTTCTCCTGGTATTGACACTTTGCCTGAACTCTTGCATGAGGAACTTCGAGGTCTCCAGCTGCAAGACTCTGTGGTTTCCAAGGTCATCCCTTTCGTCTTCAGTAAGAAACGGCCCACCAGACGAGACCGATATGATGTTTCTTCTAAAGTGTTGTTGCTGATGAAGCAGTGGGACCGCTTAATCCTAAGAGAGGGAGTTCTGTATCGTGTCATTAAGGAGAGTCACACAAACCGGAGAAAATTCCAGTATGTCTTACCAGAGGTGTTTTGCGACTCAAAGCAATGACCGGCATTCACGACCTTGCAGGACATCAAGGCCAGGCTAGAACTCTAGCCCTGGCAAGACAGAGGTTTCTCTGGCCTGCAATGGAGAGAGACATCAAGGAGTATGTACGCTGCTGCCAGAGATGCGTTCTAGCAAAGACTCCAGAGCCAGCGCTAGAGCCCCGTTAGAGAGCATCAAAACCTGCTCTCCCGTGGAGTTTGTTTGTTTGGATTTTTGAACAGCGGAAGACAGTAATAAGAACTCAGTTGACGTTCTGGTGGTGACTGACCACTTCACTAAACTTGCCCGTGCATGGCCATGCAGAAACAACAGCCAAGCAAGTAGCTCGTAAACTGTGGGATCATGTCTTCTGTGTCTATGGATTTGCTGCAAGGATCCATTCTGATCAGGGCGCGAATTTCGAGAGCGAGTTAATAGCAGAATTGCTTAAGCTCTCTGGTGTCCAAAAGTCAAGAAACTACGGCATATCACCCTATGGGGAATGGAGAGACTGAAACGCTTCAACAGGACTTTAGGCAGCATGCTCAGGAGTCTACCCCTGAAAACCAAGGAACATTGGCCTGAACAAATCCAGTCAATTGACATTCACCTATAATGCCACTGTTCACGAGACCACGGGCTATGCTCCATTCTTTCTCATGTTTGGTAGGGTCCCTCGGCTTACCAGTTGAATGTGATGTTCCACAATGTCTTGGACGACTCCAGTGTTGTGGATTGCAACAAGTATGTCGAGGACGCTGATCACTGGGCTGAAGGAAGCTATGAGTGTTGCCCAAGGCCACATGACAAGCAACTAGACGACAAGGTTGGGAGTACGACAAGGTCGGGAGTACGACAAGCGGTGTTAAAGGCATCAGTTTCCTCTGTAGCTAGCTGGTAGAGCACGGCGCTTGTAAATGCCAATGGTAGTGGTTCGATCCCCGGGGACCACCCATACACAAAAAAAATTATGCACGCATGACTGTAAGTCACTTGGATTAAAAGCGTCTGCTAACTGGCATATTATTGTCCTGGGGGGATCGTGTGCCTCATCACCAACAAGGAATTGAAAGGGGCCGTCGCAAGTTGGGTGACAAGTGGAATCCCGAGATTTTCACAGAGACTTCAGTCAATCCATTACTCACACATACAGAATCCAAGGCCGCGATGGCAGTGAGAAGGTGGTTCACAGAAATCTACTGCTGGCAGTGAACTTCCTGCCATTTGAAATGTATGATTCAGGAGTAACGTCAATGACAGTGATGCTGCAGGACCTTCGATCAATGTAGATGCAGGGAGGGCCACGCATTCCGGTGATGGACTGGACAGGGAAGACATGGAGGACTCTGTGGAGGAAAGTGCATCTTGGGATGGCGGAGGATTTCAAGCGATTACTCCGAGCTGAGGACATCGGATGCAAAGACAGAACAGAAAGAAGAACCTCGCCTGCCTGAGGAAAATGACTGGGAAGCACTTCTGAGATCCTGGAGCTGAATTCCTTCAAACCCTCCTCTGATCAATGATCTAAGGCCAGAAACCACTGTTAGTCACCATGGCCCCTAGCCCAGTGGGGGTCACACAAGGGCAGGGAGGGTAGTTAAACCTGTCAAGACACTAATTGAGTCAATCCCCCCAGAAGGTGCAAGTTGAAAATAGTACAGAGATATAGTACAGAATTACAGTTTATTTTACGGCTAAGAGGTAGATATATTGTAAGAGGCACTATGCATCTAGGGGCAGTTGAAGATCTGACAACTTTCACTTGCCCTGAACCCTATGGTAGCTTTGAGCTGAATTCAGAATTATCCTTGAGCTTGGTAGATATTTGTTTCGTTTTACAAGGTTGGTGAAATTCAGGAGGGGTGAATGTATCAGTTGTTAAAGACTTTGTGAATTTCACAATGTTCATATATTAATATAGCATGTGATTTGTTATTATGATGCCTGCATCCTGGGAATAGGAGAGTGTGTACTTATGTTTTGCCCTGCGTGCTCGTGCTCAAATAATTTGATGCACTATGAGAGGTAGGCACGCTTTTTCTGTCCTCTTTAGAAAAGTTAGATTCCTTCAAGCACAAAGTCATACACACAGTGTTTTGTTCATGAATAATGTTGTATATTTAGAGTTTACTCATGAGTGGATGGTATTGTTAAGATGCAATTGTAATTTTTAGATGATATTAACATGGTTACTAGCTAGCTAAGGTATTGTATGTGTGAACGATGGCTAGCTCCTCGACTGATCCCAGTCCTTTGTATTGTGCGTCTATGTTGTAGAAGAGGCGACAATGGGCAGAACATATTTGTGCTCTACAAATGTTTTGTCTTTTCTTTTGGATGCAGAGATAATTCTGATTCATTAAAACAGCCTGATCTCCGAAGTCCACGTCTATAGTCCCAATCAATCACACACAACGCAGAGATACAGCCGTGCAGTACAGTGCCGGTTACAACGCAGATTATAAAATTCACTGTGACACAATAAACCCACTGGGCATCAAAGTTGTTTCCAACGTGGAATAGAAGTTGAATTGACTTATGTGCCCAGTGGGAAGAGATCAATTCAAAATTATGGAATACATACAGTATTACAAAGAAAGAGATACAAAAAATTGCTTGAAAAGTCTCATTTCCCTGGGCCACCCATACGTAAAATGTATGCACTCATTACTGTAAATCGCTTTGGATGAAAGCAATTTTTAAATGGCATATTATATTATATTATAATCCAGTTTTCAAACCTCTGACGCTCACACATATTTACATTCTCGCGATGTTTATTTTCTGACGCGTTCACGTTTGCGGGATTTTGTGAAGCAAATGATGCACAGTTAGCTCCTGGAAATCAGCGACATTGACGGGTCCAAATCGAGCAATAAGCTTCAAATTAAAAGTCCTCTCCGTTTACTTGAAACTTGTTGTATATTTTCCTGTTTCAAGATGAGTTCTGTTTCTCTGATCCTATGGAAACCGTATTGGAACAACAGTGTCTGTCGTGTAACTATTATTTCAAAGTTCAAATCCAGAAATAGAAAAGGTCTCTTCTACTGAAAAAGACAGAAAAAGACAGGAGAAATAATGAAATGTCAACACCTCCCCCACTCAATGATGAGCTCTGTACTGACTATAAAAGTGCAGGATGGCAAGAAAGAAAACAGTCTTCAGTCTTCAGGACTGTCCAATTGGAAGGCAGAGGGACACATAGAGAAGACCAAACAAAAGCATGATGCATGGTTTGAGCAATGACACAAATAGGAGAGTCAGTTTTGCAATGCATGGGATGTGTATGTTGTGAAACAGCATGTTACAGTTGCAAGTCGGAAGTTTTACATACCACTTAGCCAAATACATTTTAAAACCGCTGTTTTTCACAATTCCTGACATTTAATCCTAGTAAAAATCCCTGTCTTAGGTCAGTTTAGGATCACCACTTTATTTTTAAGGGATGTGAAAATGCCAGAATTAGTAGCAGAGAGAATATGATTTATTTAACGCTTTTGCTTTTCTTTCCTCACATTCCCAAGTGGGGGGGGGGTCAGGAAGTTTTTAACCATACACTCAATTAGTATTTGTGGAAGATTGCCTTTAAAATTGGTTTTAAACTGGGTCAAAACTTTGCGGGTAGCCTTCCACAAGTCTTCCCACATAAGTGGGTGAATTTGGCCCATTCCTCCCTGACAGAGCTGGTGGTAACCTGAGTCAGGTTTGTAGGCCTCCTTGATCTGCGACACGGCATCTTTCAGTTCTGCCCACAGATTTTCTATCGGATTGAGGTCCAGGGCTTTGTGATGGCCAGTCCATACCTTGACTTTGTTGTCCTTAAGCCAATTTGCCAACAACTTTGGAAGTATGCTTGGGATCATTGGTCCAGTTTTGGAAGGACCCATTTTGCGACCAAGCTTTTAACTTGCCTGACTGATTTCTTGAGATGTTGCCCTTCAATATATCCATATAATTTTCCTTCCTCATGCTGCCATCTATTTTGTTAAGTTGCACCCAGTCCTTACCTGGCAGCAAAGCAAACCCCACAGCATGATGCTGCCCACCCCTTGTGCTTCACGGTTTGGGGCTGGTTTTCTTCGGCTTGCCAAGGGTTACCCCCTTTTTCCTCCAAACATAACAAATGGTCAATATGGCCAACCAGTTCTATTTTTGGTTCATCAGACCAGAGGACATGTCCCCAAAAAGTACGATCTTTGTCCCCATGTGCAGTTGCAAACCGTAGTCCATGGCTTTTTATGGTGGTTTTGGAGCAGTGGCTTCTTCCTTGCTGAGCGGCCTTTCAGGTTATGTCGATATAGGACTCGTTTTACTGTGGATATAGATGCTTTTGTACCTTACCTGTTTCCTCCAGCATCTTCACAAGGTCCTTTGCTGTTGTTCTGGGATTGATTTGCACTTTTCACACCAAAGTACGTTCATCTCTAGGAGACAGAACGCGTCCGTGCTACTTCAGCCTTTTGCTATTTTAAAGTAAAAGCTCAGTTAATGATGAATGGATACATTTTGGAAGGATTTTCCAGATTCATACATCAGTAGGGGTAGAGTGTCAGGTGGCACAATCATTGGTGCCATAAGGTCAAAGTGTGAGGGAGGGAGCAGGCCAGAGAGCTGTCGAGGAAGTGGTCCAGGCCCCTGGCTTGGAGGCTTTGAGTTGGTCCCATCAGTGTATCATTGTAGGGTATCTGCTGCCCCATAGACCTGCTGGTAGTGGGAAAGGTGTTAGCAGGAGATCACCAGGGAAAGCTATGATTGGCTGACAGATTCTTGGAGTTAAACCACATGTAGTCTAAAACAATATTCACCTGCTTTCATGG